ACTCTCTCTCTCTCTCTCTCTCTCTCTCTCTAAATGAAAAGCCACAAGACTTTCTACAGCGCCAGCTAACAACCTCCCAATTTTCTACATCGGACCAGAAGATCACAATTTAGTATTTAAATTTATTTTTTATAATTCTAATTGACATGAAGTCTTGATGGTACTATAAGCGGGCCATTAAAAAAAAAACCCTTCGGGTGTTACGAGATCATTTTGGTCAATTTTTTATTTTTTTAATTTTATTTTTTAGGTGCCTCTAAGAGAGGTGGGCAAACTCAAAATTTGGAGTCAATTTGAATAGTATAGGCCAGATGGCTTAAATTCAATCTGAGAATGTCCAGATTGGCACCTTTTAATTCAATTCATTCTACAAATCCTTTTCAGCTAAAATTTGGGGAGAGGTGGGCAACACTAAGGTGCACAAGAAAAAAAAAATATTAAAGATTTCATAAGAAAAATCGAAATTGTTCTTGCACCCATCTTGTACTGAAGCATAGGCTGGCCAACTCACTTAAAAAATAGGGCCCCAGGGACTCCCTCTCCTACAAATTATATTATGGAAGATGCCCCTTTCGATGGAAGGAAGGGCTTCCAAAAATGCAATGTTTTATAGCATTAAGAATTTGCCTTGTGAAAGGCCGCCCGCGCGCGCGCGCTTCCATTTTGCAGGGTGTTATCAAACATAGAAGTGGGGCGCTTCCAAAAACTCCCAATTATCAAATATGCTAAATTATTTATAGGTGGAACACATTTCCAAGCTATCATAAGGGTTTTTTTGAGAAAGGTTAACTTTCTCAAAAACATATCCTTTTTCGATGGCATTTGGAAGCGCGACCACACTTTTTTCATAAGGCTGCAACCTTGTAGAAACTGTGTAGCTGGTTATACAATAGGTCTCTTGCATTGAAGCTCCTGAGCTCCATTTCTAATCAATGTTAGGGAAAAATAGACCATAATCCAGTGGACAATGGTATGCCCTCAGTCCACTAGGGCCATCAACGTCCAATGTAATGATGGATGACGATGGAGATATTGGGACCCATCAAAACTGGAGATGTCCCAAATGGTGGGTTGTGTTCCCTATCCATCACCTTCCATTTCATTGAATGTTGCTGACACAAATAAGTATGGATTTTCACTGTCACAAGGACTTTTGTACATTTACCCTATAATTGATCAGCCATGAATCTGGTTTCTCCTTTTCTTTGTTTTCTGTTTGATAGCAACTAATTATAGGTTTAATTTAGGTATGGGATACATATTAGTTTGATTTGGCATTCGAGGTGAAATGGAAAATATGTATCCATTTTGAGGAGCTTAGAGAGGTAAATGTTTTACAGGTGGTGAGTGGCTTCAACAGTAGCCGCTTAAGAACAGACCCGTTTGAAGTGGGTGAATGCTGCATGCTGTAGATTTTGTTTGGATAGATGGTGACAATGAATCACATATCTATGGACCCTTCCCTATCAGTAGCTCTATGGCTCTTTTTACTATCTGAAGAGTGTTGTCA